AGGAGAGGAGAGGAGAGGAGAGGAGAGGAGAGGAGAGGAGAGGAGAGGAGAAGAGAAGAGAAGAGAAGAGAAGAGAAGAGAAGAGAAAAGTCTAAGTTGCCTTTGTCCTCACCATAGTCCTTTCTTCCCAGTTCACAGAAGAGGGCTTTTGAAGCTACGCTCCCCCATTCATGAAAGCCTCCCAGGTGGTCTTTTGTGATAGTTAATAAGATATAGATTGTTTGCTTCCAGTGCTAAGGGATAATTTTATTACATTTACAGTAGTTACCCTTATCTGCAGGGAATATGTTCCAAGATTCCCCGTGGATGCCTGAAACCATGTATATAGTAGTGAACCTTAGCCAAGGAACTCCAAGATCACCTTTCCACTTACAGGAAGCACCCTTTGGCTTCTCTTTGACATATCTGAATTGCTGGCCTCAGTACTCTTGAGTTTTGAAGCCATTATTAAATAAACTAAGGGTAACTTGAACACAATCACTGTGAAAGTAAGGAAGTTGATCTGATAACTAAGATAACTAGGTGATGGCTGGGTAGCACTCACAGATTGGATCTACTGGATAAAGGGATGATTCATATCCTGGGAAGGGTGAAGCAGGATGGCACATGCTACTCGGAAGAGCACACAATTTAAAAATTATGAATTGTTTACTTCTGGAGTTTTCTATTTAATATTTTTGGACTTTAGGTAGCCACAGGTAACTGAAACTATGGAAAGTGAGACTATGGATAAGGGGGACTACTATAATGTAAAATATATTTCATATCATTGGTGCCTTGTCAAAAGCTTCATTCATTTTGGTTGATTTGGACTGGTTTTTTTAAATTATTTTGTTGATTCTTTGGTGTGTGATTTTATTGTTTAGTGTTATATTTTGTGGATCACAATTTTGCAGAGGTTTACAAAGGCTTGGTCTTATACTACTCAGGTGGCCACAGGTTATTTGTAGGTGATAAGCTCCCCTTGCTCAAGACATGGCAGTTCGCCTCAATGTGCTCCTTCGGGAGATTGATTTTGAGAAACATCTCTTTGAAGATCGAGCTTCTGTACCTGCCTATAGATATGCAGGAATATACAGAGTGACTCTCTCCCTAGGAGGTGTGGAGAATCAGCTCCAAAGAACACAACATCAGTTATTCACTAAACCAGAAAGACAATGCTTTCCTTCTCAACAAGTTTCCGGTCTTCCTTATTAATGGTACTAAATCTGTTATCTTGTCTCAGACTGGAGTTGTATATAATACAAGCAAAACAAGTGACTTTTGCTTTATTTCCTTACCCTAGACTTCCTTGCTTATTATAACAAACAGGAATTATAATTGAATTAAGAGGGTTGATTCTGTGAAAAGATTATTGGAATAACACTGGATGCCTTCTTTTCATCTTGTTTATATTTTCCAGACCAGCCTTAATAGCATGATGAGTGTTTACAGTGAAACAGGAGACTATGGCAACGTGAAAGTCAGTGGTGAAATTCTTCTCCATATCAGCTACTGCTACAAAACCGGAGGGCTCTACATTTTTGTCAAGAATTGTAGAAATCTGGCCATAGGAGATGAAAAGAAACAGAGGACAGATGCGTAAGCATATAGCATGTTCTTCAGACTATTTCAATCATTGCTTTGTCTGTATGTGTGTTTCTTTTTCAGAAAAGTCTTAGCAATCCTCTTGATTCAAAGCCTTCTCAGAGAGTTGTCACTTTCCACTTCTAAATATTTATTCTCTAAAGTACATGTATAATGGTTGTGTCCTTGGTTACCTGGTTTTTAAAAAGCCCTTACTCAACATGATTTGGAACTGATGTATTTGTAGTTTGCACAAGAGGCAGCTCTTTGAGGTAGAAAGCTGATATGTTGGCACACCTAGGATGTACAAAAGTATCCTATTATGAGGGAAATATTCCAGAGAAAATTACCATGGTGTTACCCAACCAAACAACTCAAAAGGCCAATAATAAGCTCTTAGGATTCTAAGGGTAAGCCTCTGAAGAACAGGAGGAGGCCATATGGACCGTGGCACATTAGAGAGAAGCTAGATATTAAGAGGTGTCAGGAGTCCCCAAGACCACTGTTAGGTTCAGTGATTCGCTAGTTTTCACAGGACTCTGCTTATTGTTACAATCAGCAAAGAGAAAAGGTATATGTACCAAAATCCTAAAGAAACCAGGCTCAAGTTTCTAAGGGTCCTTCCCAATTGAGTCACCTAGGATGCATTTCATTCCCTCAGTAATGATTCGTGACAACCACTGTGAAATTCTGTCTACTAGGGAAGCTTGTTGGAAACTGAGCTTATCACAGACCATATTGCCAGTCTCCCAGAGGGAAATAACATGTTCAGCATAAGTCATACTATTTATACAAAGAGTTTGGGCACAGTGAGCCATTTTTTTCAGTTCTGGGAATGCTAGGACCCTGACCCCACCAAATTCTTGGATAGTGTCTGGGACCAAGGATTGTAAGGCCTAAATCTTGTTAGAAGTGTACCCACGTTCACTCTTTTCTGTACAATACCTGACCTAGGTCCAATAAATAACTCAGTGAAGCTGGTTCCTAAGATAAAACAAATAAATGGACTCTGACTACATACAGGTCCACCTGCCTCCTTAATTAAATTTCAGAGGGCTATGAGACCAATATGGTTATTCTAACTAGCATGGAAAGATGACATCTAAAACCCCAGAAGATATGGTTCCAAACTCTAGTAGCATTTTATACACTTCAATTATGCACATCTTATACATTTCTGAGTCGACTATTATGCCCCTACTTCAAGAGGCTCCTGAGATAGTTCGAAGCAAGGTGTTAGAATTGCCATCTTGATTTCAGGTTATTTTCTGTTCCTTCTATTTCACCATTTTCTTTTGTTTGCCGACTACCATTGACTCCATTCCCAGACATTGGAAGACAGGACTAAGACTGGAGAGGTATATAACCCCAGAGAGTTTAAGAGACCATTGATGATGATAATAATAATAGATTACATTTATTAAAAAGTACAATATGGCAGCTCCATGTTTATGTCAACTAATGCAATCCTCACAATGCCATGGGTTAGATATTGTTATTTTCCAAGTTTTACAGATGAAAAAGTGAGCCACAGGAAGGTTAAGTACATTCTTGAAGTCACCAAAACCTATGAGGCAAGGAGTGACTCAAACAATTGACTGGAGTTTAGACCCTATACTCTTTTACTGAGGCACTTTACTGCTTCTCTCTTATGGAAGGCCCAGAGTTAACTTTTTTAAGCTTTGGCCCTGTTTCTTATGATCACTGCCCTTTGCCTCTTTTATTCACTGAAGTCTCTGAGCATTTCTTACAAATAGATGTTCCCCAATAGTTACTTTTATATTTTATTATCTGCAGTTATGTCAAGTCATACCTTCTTCCTGACAAGTCCCGAAACAATAAGCGCAAGACCAAAATCAGAACAGGCACCAATCCAGAATTCAATGAAACACTAAAGGTAAGTTAATTGTCTGTCATCATAAGCCCATGTGATACTGTTCACAACCTCTTTGGTTTAGAAGGAACTACAGAGATTCTTTTATTTGCATGTCAAGGCTTGTATATGTTTTAGAAAGTTGGAATATGAATAAATTATCATATGTGCATAATGCCCTTGGCTTTCCTAACATCTTTTGGAAAAAAATTAATGTAAACCAACTACTCTTATTTTGTTTACTTCTCTGTGGGCACTGCTTCTGCTGAATTTGTATTTTAAGTAGCAATGATGTACCAAAATTACATCTCAGCTGATGCAGCTTGTCAAAAAGTATGTTTCACCTTTGGGCAAACTGTGCTTTTCTTTACCCTGAAAGAAGTTTCTCACAGTTTTGACACCAACTTAACGAGTCACTTAGCACACATTCATTGTTCTGCTAACACAGCAGGGATATGTGCTGCTTCTTGTTGAGGTTTCAGAATTTGGCTAAATTTAGGCATATGGTTAATGCACTATGTAGTTGAGGGTCAGATTTGAGAAATCTCAAAGAGAATGGTCTAGAAAAAAAATATGATCTATTCCTATAGAAATTTCCATAGCCAATGGGCTTCTATGTAACAACCCTTTCTCTCACCCTGGGCCAATCTAGCCTGATAAGAAAGATCCAGCAAGAATGGAATGTGGAAGTGATTACCAATCCTAAGGAAATCTATGAGTTTAATGACCCAGAAAAATATAGTCATAGTCTACCATAGCAGGAAGTTGGTGAGAGCAGAAAGCCCTGTGCCTATGTGTGTCAGTGGGGGCATAAATGGATGTTCTCCATGGATAACTAGTTCTCCATGGCACAACTAGTTTAGATCAAACTAAAAAGGAATAAATACAGGCAGAAAGCAAGTTCAACTGCCATAACTGGCTAGCAGAGATGAGCTCAAGCAGAACAAACAGGTAAACACAGAGAGAGGGTAAATTAAGGAAGCAGGGAGCCAACATTAATCATAATAGTAAGGACAGAAATAAACACAAATCCGAGATCAGGAATCTGAACCAACCACCCAGAAGGTGGTTGCATAGAACAAGCAGAAGGTTGGAGGGTGTATGAACATGTGGCCCTGGATAACATTCTGTTGGAAAAGGAAACACTAGCCCAACAATATCTTCTTTCTGCTCATTCTACGTGTACATCTTTTCACCTCTGCACTTAGACACACTTTATGAAATCCAGGCTTTGCAAATTCCTCATTGTTAATACTTTGCTAGATTTGAGGATTCTTATTATGACTAAGACAGAGAAGTTGAAGAATTGATATAGTAAATCTTGAACTTACAAAGTAAATGTGAAAAATAATTAGGCAAATAAAAAACAAGTAAAACTGGAAAGAGAATAAGCTTTATCACCTAACACTATTTATACAGTATCCAGAGTTTATCTCCCCCTCACATAATGTGTTTATATACCTTTCATTGCTAAATCTGGCACAAAACGAGTTTATGGAATAGAACCTCAATTGTGGCAGAAACAAAGGAAAAGGAAATCTTTTCTTTATGTTGTTTTGTTTATATTACTGATGCATGTGACCTGAAAGATGTGAGAAGTAAATTTCAACCTGTCCTGAAATTAGATACAACCTCTTTTGTGGAGTGTAATATTGTAATCTCATTGCAGTACACCATCAGCCATACCCAGCTGGAAACAAGAACTCTTCAGCTCTCAGTCTGGCACTATGATCGATTTGGACATAACAGCTTCCTTGGGGAGGTAGAGATTCCTTTTGACTCATGGAACTTTGAAAATCCAAGTGACGAGTGGTTTGTGCTTCAGCCTAAGGTAGGAAATGCTTCCAGATAGCCAAACAATTATGCAATGAGACAAGTTAGGAATGAAATTTATGTCACAGTCTTAAGAATCTGAAGACTTCCAAATCTCAAGTGATAATCAACAAAGATTAGTGAAGTAAATTCTCGAATAATATTATAATAACTATAAATTCATTGTTTTGGAATTTTGGAAGTTCTTTGTCAATATAGATTGTATAATACAAGTCACATAATCGTTCATTTTTTCTCACGAAAAAATGTATTAATCATTTGATGTTCTCCATGGATAAACAAAAGGAATGTATTTTATGATCCTATTGGAAGGAGAAAGGCTTTAGTTCAGGGAGGCAAAACTAAGTCCATAGAACATGACCAATCTCAAAACATTATCTTTATTTCTCATTCCCTACAATTCAGACCACAAGCAGGATGTATACTACCCACAATTAAAGTATCTTGTTTCTTACATTTCTACTTTTGGTATACTTAAGCTAGGTCTTGAGTTATTTACAAAATACTGAGAGCTGGCTATAGAAATTAAATGATAATGCCATATGGCAGGTTCTAATCTAGACCAACCATTCCTTGGATTCACTCTAAGCAACTGAGGTCTCTCTACATTTACGGGAATTTTTAATGATACAAGGGAGGTAAAAATGGTCACATTTATGCAGCCAAAGGTTGTTCTTTATATACAGAGAGGCAAAAGAACATTATGATAAAGATGGTGGATTCAAATCACCCTTTCTTGGTTCCATGACTGCCTATGCAATGCTAGGCAAATTACTTAACTTCCTAGGCTTTGGTGTTCTCATTTGTAATATAATCATTGGATGTAGCTTTTAGGGCTGTTGTGAGGCTTGAATAAGCATTTTACATGAGACTGCCAGCATTCTATCAGGAACATTGTAAGTTCTCAATAAATGTTAAGTAGTATACATCTTACTTAGGAGTCATTGTATTGCAATTCACAGAAAGCCCAGATCATAGTGCTCAAAAAATAAAGGGAAATTACTGGCCATCAGTGATCAGCTAGAACTTGATCCAGATGCTCAAATCTTTTTTTTTTTTTTTAAACTTTTTTTAAAGTCAGAATCTCACTCTGTTGCTCAGGCTAGAGTGCCATGGTAGCCTAGCGCACAGCAACCTCAAACTCCGGCGCTCAAGCAATCTCTTGCCTCAGCCTCTCAAGTATCTGGAAATACAGGCATGTGCTACCGCATCAGACTAACTTTTCTATTTTTTAGTAGAGATGGGAGTCTGACTTTGCTCAGGCTAGTCTTGAACCCTATTTTCAAGCAATCCTCCTGCCATGGCCTTTCAGAATACTAGGATTACAGGAGTAAGCCACTGTGGTCGACTTCAGATACTCAAATCTTATCATGACCCTGCAGTCTCTTGGTCTCTCCTCCTCTCCTCTTTCTTGGTTTCATTTTCAAGTTCCACACAGTGTTGGCCTCCCTCACTAGGGCCAGGCCTGTCTCTCCTGGGCTCTAATGGCTATAGGGGCTACCAGCCTTTCATCTTTGCACCACACTGTCCAAGAGAGGAGAGAGTTTCTCCCCAATAGTCGCTAACCAGTGCCTTGGGTCTTGTTCTCCTAATTCTAATTACAAAATTTCTAATCTGAGCCTAGTTAGAAAAACTAGGCAGAGTGGAAAACTGCAGGCAGAGTGGAAAACTGCATTAGCTGGCTTAAGATAAAGAGGATATACCATGGTCCTGAAGGTGGATTGCCCCAAAGGGAATCCAGGAACTAAGGGAATGGTGAGGGATACTAGATAGCAAAAACAAATGATGTTCTCCATTTTATCAACAGCAGCATTGTTCTCAATTAATTGTTACAACAACCCTATCAGGTAAGTATCATTAGTTCCATTTTATAGATGAGGAAACTGAGACTCAGAAGTTATATACAATTTGCTGATGGAGTTTTGTAACTGTTAACTTTAAATTTGCTATGAATAACTCATGGAAAATTTAGGGTGGTATGTTTAGGCTATGGGTCAGATTGAAAATAAAATTTTAAAAAAATTCCTTAAGCATAACTTGCAAGATCATGACTGACATAAATCTGATGGAGATAGGAAGTATAGTATTAAAAATGAACAAGTCCACAATAGCATATTATCTCCCTGATATTAAATATAAAAATGACTTGGCCATTACAGCATCAAGTGTCTTGGAATTGAATGAAAATCTTCACTGTAAAAGGTAGCACTTAATATGACTTAGCAGTCTCCTGTTAGTCACTTCCTTTGTGTAATATCAACAAGAATCATATTTAGAAAATGTCCAAGATATCATAATGCAAACTAACAATGAAGCTCACAAAATCCTCCTAGAAAAAGTGCTGTATGCCTCATTGCTGAATGTCACTGTAGACACCTTCGAATGACACCTCAGATGGTTCTTCCAGAAAAAGAGTTTCAAAATTAGTCTGAAGGGTGGACTCAAAGCTGGTATCTGTGCATGGCTTCCTGAGGGAAGTACTTTGAAGGTTGCTAGGGTGGCATTCAACAATGAAATACGTAGCACTTTTTCTAGGATGAGTTCACAAACTTAATTGTCAGACATCATATGATGCATGACACAGTACATGCATCTTAGTACATAAAACTAATTTATCTGTCATGAAGTTAACATTAAAGCACATAGAAGGGCTCTTTGGAAACCAGTTTGGAAAGAAAAATAGTACCTTTCCAGTCAGCTTCCTGGAAATGGTTAAAAGATTTTGCTGGAATGTTATCTAGGCTCTCCCAGACCTCTCCCCCAGGCCTCTTCTGTGCTCAGGGACCAATAATTTTCCATAGTAATCACTTCCACATTATGATTGTGTTGTTCACGTTCTAGTATGAGAGGGAAGCAGCTCCAGGTCTCTCTGAGCCTGCTGACGGTAGAACGTTCTGATTGTGTTCACTAAGGAACAACATCAGTCCTGTGTTAGACCCCTTCAGACTCCTGTGTCTGTCAGATTTGCCACAACAGCCTCCACCTCAAACTCTCTTTAGAAGCCAGCCTTTGGTTACTGCAGCCTCTTTCTTGTTCACATGAACAGAGAGCCAAAAGTCCTGAGAGTTGTGTTCTCTGCCACAAGGTAACCCTTAGTGAACCATCCATAAGTGGGGGGTGTATGAAGACACACTTCCCTTACCGAGAGTGGGGAAAACTGAGAGTGCGCCTGTCAGAGCAGGCCAAACTGATGGAACTTTGCCCAAGACTGTGCCCATCCCTGTCCTGCTTCTGCCACCCCTTCCCTGGTCTCTCTGGGGAGCACTCTCTTAATAAATCACTTGCATAAGAATCCTTACCTCAGAACTGGTTTCTGGGGAACCCAACAGAAGTTGATGTCTGTAATGCACACCATCTTCCTCTGCCACGTGGAAAAAAGCTGGAGACTGAGACTTGCTTAGATACCATGTCTTCCAAACACGGGAGGGCAAGTGCAAAGGTATGCTCTCTGTTGCCTCATCCCCAGGCTGAGCTCGGCTCTGTGCAGTTCATTATCAGCCAGCTAGGTGCAGTGTCATGTCGATCTTAGTCTCTTGTCTTAGTCATTTCGATGCAATCATCACTCCATCAGCTGCAGACATACTGCAAGCCATCCTTAGACATGACATTTCTTGTAGCTTATGCAGTCGAGGAGGTGAAGTGTGAACTACAAGGACTGATTTCCCAAGTAATAGGTAGTCAGAATTAATAGTCTTTAAGCATTCAGAAATACTGGCATCCTTCTGCAGCTCGAAAGGGGTGCTGGAAAGACATATGGCCTTATTGCCTGTTGAGTCAGTGTTAGTGAAAGTTTCTCAATACCTACCTTTGTATGGGTTAGGGCTTACAACACTAGGCAAGTGAGAAGGCTGATACAGAGAAAGAACTCAAGATACCAAACGTACTGTAAAGTACCTTCACAGTGTAACTTCCATTTTACTGCATGACATAGGTTTATTTATTAGCTATAACTCATTATCCTTCTGAAAGGCATGTTGGGTAGGTAGAGAAGGGTTTGTCAATATGAATTACTTTTCATGCTTTCCCATAATATGCTAATATAATATGCTATTATAAAAACAAGGACTTTTGAAAATCAACAATAAGCCTAAGTGTTTTTTCCAAGGAAACATTCTCTTATTCTGCTTTTAGGCAGAGAGAAAATGTAAGTTTCTGTGGAACTATTACTAAGATTAAAGGCTGTGTCTTTATTTGTCAGTTTTGGTAGACTTTTGTAATTTCTTACTCCACTTTACCCCTGTAAATGAACTGGAGATCTCTCCCGTACTCCAAGGGAAAGTGGCTCGCTTTGCAGAAAGCAGAAGATAGTGGGAGTCATCTGCTTACTTCACACTCTTGCTCAGATAATATCAATGTTACCTGTTGCTTTGGGATATGGTTTGAATAAATGCTAACCATCACCTGGCACCCAGTTCTCCCCTGATATGGCCCAGCCCTCTGGAGCAACCAAGGATGTCAGTGCTCTACCCATGCAAACATGACTCCCATAGCTTTCACTCTCACCAGCCAACCCCTGCCAATCATTGTGGGAGGAGAGTCCTCAGGCTGCTGGAATGGGCGTGGTCCGTGGGAATAAAAAGCCAGAGAGGTTTAGGTATTTAAGTCTCCTGGAAGTGAGCAGAGCCTTTGATCAATGATTAATGGGTGAAAGAGCATAAACACCCCAACTCCCTTGCCTCTGATTGGAACAACTCTATGGTGTGATCTGTTATATCTCTAGAGTTCCCCTGTGGACTGAACAAAAGTTACCCTCCATAGAACTTTGCCTTATACCACACCCTTAAGCCTTCATCACTGTCAGTCACAGTGCCCCACTATCCTTCTAATAAATCATTATAAATTGAGGCAGCACCTGTGGCTCAGTGAGTAGGGTGATGGGTTCAAACCCGGCTCCAGCCAAACTGCAACAACAACAAAAAAATAGCCGGGCATTGTGGCAGGCGCCTGTAGTCTCAGCTACTCAGGAGGCTAAGGCAAGAGAATCACCTAAGCCCAAGATCTGGAGGTTGCTGTGAGCTGTGACACCACAGCATTCTACCGAAGGTGACAAAGTGAGACTCTGTCTCTTAAAAAAAAATATCATTATAAATTAAGTTCATGTCTTAGGGTCTGCTAGGGAACCCAGCATAGACATCTTATTTCCATCCCCCTTGCTACTGTCTCCCTACACACACGCCTCCCTAATCACATCTGACTTTCTACCAATCCATAACCACATTTAACATGGTCCCCACTATATTGTGCCTATACAGCCTTCTTGACTTAGGGTAACCTTGTTCCCTACTATCTTCATCTGTCTTCAGATCCCATCCTTTAAGGACCAGGCAAGGGCCACCTCCTTATACCAATTTGGACTAATCTCCTTCCTACAGTAATTTCTTTGTACTTATGTTGGAGCAACCATCACCATTTCTCTGACATTGAACTTTCTGTGCAGTAGAAATTCTCTTCTCCCAGCCATCATGACCAATAATAGGTCAGTTAATAGAGAAAGTCACAGAAATCACCCACATACAAACACGTGCCAAATGCATTTTGTTGTTGTTGTTGTTTTTGCAGTTTTTGGCTGGGGCTGGGTTTGAACCCACCACCTCCAGTATATGGGGCCAGCCGGCACCCTACTCCTTGAGCCACAGGGACTTCCCCATTTCTTTTTGTTTTTAATGCTGTTCATGAATTATTTTGAATGGACACATAAAAATTGTATATGCTTATCATATAAAACATGTTGTTTTGAAATATGTACACATTGTGGAATAGCTAGATCAATCTAATCAACATATGCATTTCTTTTGTTGTTGTTGTTGCAGTTTTTGGCCGGGTTTGAACCTGCTACCTCCAGTATATGGGGCTGGTGCCCTACTCCTTGAGCCACAGGCACCTCCCGATATGCATTTCTTCAAATATTTATTTTCTGGTGCAAACATATAAAATCTACTCTCTTAGTAATTCTCAAGAATACAATACATTTTTATTACTTGGGGTCACCATGCTGGTACAATAGATCTCTCAGAGTTATTCCTCCTGTCTCACTGAAATTTTGTATAGTTAAACCAACATCTCCCCAACCCCGATCCCACCCCAGCCCTTAGTAGCCACCATTCTACTCTCTCCTTCTGTTACTTCGACATTTTTAGATGCCACATATAAGCAAGATCATGCTATACTATCCTCTCGTAACTAGTTTATTTCAGTCAACATAATATCCTCCAGTGTCATTCACATTGTCACAAATGACAGTATTTCCTTCCTTTGTAAGGCTGAATAGTATGTCATTGTATGCATATATTACATTTTCACTGTTCATTCATTGATGACCACTTAGGATGAATCTATATCTTGGCTATTGTGAACAATGCTGCAATGAACATGGGGAGCTGTGGATATCTCTTCAACATAATGCTTTCGTTTCCTCACAAATCATATACATGGTAGTTCTATTTTTGATTTTTGAGGAACCTCCATACTGTTTTCCATAGTGGCTGTACTAATTTACACTCTCTCCAACAGTGTGCAAGGGTTCCCTTTCCCCCACATGTTCTCTAACACTTGTCTGTTTTCATTTTGATAATAGCCATTCTAGCAAGTGTGAGGGGATGTGTCATTGTGGTTGTAACTTGCATTAACCTGATGATTAGTGATGCTGAGCATTTTTTTCATGTACCTGTTGGCTATTATATATCTTCTTTTGAGAACTGTATGTTTAGATCCACTGCCCATTTTTAACTCAACTGTTTTCCTACTATTGAGTTGTTTTAATTCCTTATGTATTTTGAATATTAAACATCTATCATATGTATGATTTGCAAATATTAGCCACCGTTCCATGGGTGGTCTCTCTCTACTCTGTTGATTGTTCCCTTTGCTGCGCAGAGAAGATTTTTAGTTTCATGCAATCCCATTTGTCTAATTTTGCTTTTGTTAATTGTGCTTTAGGGATCATATCCCAAAATTCATTGCTCATACCAATGTCATGGAGCTTTCCCCCTATATTTTCTATCACTTTTATAGTTTCATGGCTTATATTTAAGTCTTTAATAGATTTTGAGTTGATTTTTATGTATGGTGTGAGATAAAGGTCCAGTTTCATTCTTCTGCATGTAGATAGCTAGTCTTCGCAACACTATTTATTGAAGAGACTGTCTCTTAACCATCATATGTGTTGTTGGCACATTGCCACTTCTCATATTCTCCTAGTAATAAAAGCAATCATAGAGCCCACTCAGACCCAAAAATAAGGGACGAATACTTCACCTCTCATTGACAATAGTACCAAAAAGTAATAGGCAGGCAGCGCTTGTGACTCAAGGAGTAGGGTGCCGGCCTCATATGCTGGAGGTGGTGGGTTCCAACCCAGCCCCAGCCAAAAACTGCAAAAAAAAAAAAAAAAGTAATAGGCATCACAAATATACCATAATGTATGTTATCATTTTCTATTTATGACATCCACATAAACTAAAATTTACTGAAATTGTTAAAAACAAAAGCCCTTTACAAGGAATTTAATCTAAAATAATTAGAGTAAGAAAATATTACATGCATAGTCTATTTCACCATATCACCAATCTTATTTTTACTGTGATAAGAAGGTTGAATATAATATTTCAAGTACTTTTACCATCCTGACTAATAAATTTTCCTACCACCGCCAACAGGAATGAATATCATGCAAGGATTCCTTTTATTGGTAATAGTTTCAGTACTTATTTTATTTTTAATATTTACTTATTTTATTTATGGCTGAGCTTTGAATTGCCTCTGGCTTTGCTATGAGTGGCCAGATTTCAGAACTCTTTCAATCTGCCCTCTCTCTGAGGAGAGCAGTTCTCTGCCCTTGACTCAGAAGTTGGATAGCTGAAGGAAACACCTGATTTCCTATTCTATCTGTGAAAGTTTAACTTTTAACAGTAAACTCTATCTGTCAAAGTATAACTGACTCAGTGGCAAGTGGAAGACCTATAGAACAGAGGCTCTGGGTATATTTGTATATTGAATTTAACTGGACTTTTTATTTTGAGATGGTTATAAATCCACGTTCAATTATAAGAAATAATACAAGGAGATCATAGTTTTCCCCAATGGTAGCACATAGCAATACTGTAGTATGATATTACAACAAGATATCGACATCAATATGATCCACTAGTTTTATTCAGATTTCCCAGTTTCACTTGTACTCATTTGTGTGTGTATATTTAGTTTTAGGCAATTTTATCACCTGTGTAAGTTTGTAAAACCATAACCATAGTCAAGACACTGCACAATTCCAAAGGTGTCCCTTGGGTTGAACTTTTATGACCAAAACTCCTTCCCTCCCACTTCTCCTCCTCCCTGCCTCCCAGCAACTACTAATCTGTTCTCCAGCTTTATAATTTTGCCATTTAAATACTGTTACATAAATACAATCATACAGTATACATCCTTTTAAGACTGGATTTTGTCAGCTGGCATAATTCTCCAGAGAATCATTCAAGTAGTGGCATGTATCAATATTCTGTTCCTTTTGTGTTATTGGGTAGAATTCCATGGTGCAGATATATCACAGCTTCTTTAACCATGTACCTGTTGAAGGCCATTTAGAATTCTTTTCAGTTTTTTACTATTACAAATAAATCTGACACAACTGTTAGTATGTAAGTTTTTTCATTTACAGACAATTTGTCATTTATCTGGGACAGATGCCCAAGAGTACAATTTCTGGGTTGTGTTGTAGTTGCCTGTTTAGTCTTAAAAGAAACTTGCAAACTTTTTTACAGAAAGACTTCACCATTTTACATCTCCACCAGCAACATTTGAGTAAATCACCTTCTGCATGTTGAAATTTAATGATGTGAATTACCAATGTTGCTTTTAATAACCAGTGTCTGGCAGCCCAGCATGAATCAAGCATTGCTACCTACCTTCCCCAGCACTTGGCCATTTCGGAAAGTTTTGAGATATCAGGATAAAGAGGGAGAAGTAACTTCTGGAGCTACTTTTAGTGGCTTCTTCATTTTTGCTCTTACACCAAACTACATGTGTACGGTGCAACACAGGCACTCAGATTTGTATTGTATGTCTTCTTTCAAATCCCTTTTTCTTTAATGTTAAAAGTTACATGTAAATGCCTTCAAAGAGTTTTTCACCCTTTCTTTTCTCATACATAAGACATCTCTTAAACTAACAAGAGCCAACATCATTGAGATAGGGGTGAATTGTCACATTTAGGCCACCAAATAAATGTTGTGAACTCTCATGTGCACTGTAAATACTAAGCCAAGCATTCTTACTCTTTTGTTTTCAACTGTCTCCCCTGGGCCAGGTGGAGTTTGCACCTGATATTGGCCTTCAGTACAAAGGAGAACTAACAGTTGTTTTATGTTACATTCCCCCAGAGGAGAACTTGATGCTTCCACTAGATCAACGTCAAGGTAGTGTAAAAATTAATGACTTTGATCAATGGCATTCTGTTTCTAGAAGTATGGGAATTGAATTGAGATCAGAGATTAATTGAACTATGTTACTATTGCATTACACAAATGAAACATAAAGGGTTAGGTGTTACTCTCTTGTGGAGAGTTGAGAATCTCTCAATGATCTATACAGGAAAGAGTACAAGATTCTTGTAAGAAATAGACCAAGTTCATACTCAGAAAGCAGATTTAATAGCAAGATTTACTTTTTTCTGTTAGTCCAGAGATATAGGGTCTTCCCTGGGATGTGGGGACAGTCTTCTGGAAGCAGAGTATAGGAAGCTGCTGCATGGATTTATGACATTCATAGCTATTCAGGGAGGCTTGGGGAAGTAGTTGACCTAGAGCATAGAATGCAAAGGAAAATTCCATATGGAATAAACTTATAACTCCCTCTTGCCCTTAGTTTTCCATCAGCTCCCACAGGCAGCCTCCTCAGTCTTCCCATTCAGTTTCACCTTCCAGTTTGATCCTGTGCAAGTAACTTGCTATCTTCTGGCCTCACTTTCCTCACCTCAAGGGGATGTTTGGAGGATTAAATAGATTCATACATGTGAAGTGCTTAAAACAGTACCAAATAAAGGTGGCGGTCATGGTGGTGGTTGATATTATTCATGTTGAGCATATTTCATCAGAATAAAAATGTCAAGTGGAGGAAACACTTTTCTCTGACCCTAAAATGTCATCGTTCCTGGGTTGTGGCCTCTAGAGCTGGTCCTAACTGAAACTTACAACTTACAAGATTAAAATATCAAAGAAAGGTGTTAAGAAATTTTCTCTTTTGGAAGGAGGGAGGGGTGGAGGAAAGGAAAGCAGAGAAAGGGAAATATAAAAAAAAGAAATTTTTTCTTTTGGAGTTTTGGCACTTGATAAATAGCCATTTATCACTAAGAGTAGAAATGGTGCCCTAGGAAACTCTTAGGGTCCTTTGCATTCCATACTCTTATACCCTATGAAAATATGTGCTTTGTAGGGTATTGTTTAAACTTTTAAATTCTTTCATTCATTTTTTTTCAACAAACACAAATGAAAGAGTTATCCAGAAGGAAGCCAATGGGGTAAAAATTCTTCGATGAATAAAAAATACACAACAATGGTAAGGGGTGTTCTGATCAGCAAGTGAAGTATATCTTTGGAGATGATCTTTGTGGATTTTGAAATCGAACCCAGGATCTCTCTCTTTCTCTCTCTCCCCTCTATCTCAATCTCATTTCAGTAGCTGATACAGGAAAGAAGACCTTTAAGAAGGGAAAGAAGAAGGAGTTGCCTATAGTCTCTGGAGGAATATTAGAAGTGTTCATCAAAGAGGCAAAGAATTTGACAGCAGTGAAGTCAGGAGGCACTTCCGATAGCTTTGTGAAGGGGTAATTTTGTTTTAGCTCATTTCAGATGATAATTAATGGGAAGTGAAAAGATCTGTGATCCACAAGCCAATGGTGGCTGTGAGACTTCTATGTTCTGTTTACTGAAAATGTTTTAGGAGAGAAATAGCCATAAGTGTTGGCTTTTACCTCTAAAACAATACAAGTGCAGCGAGAACATCCCTTTTTTAGCTGTCACTCTGTTTCCAGAATATTTCAGGAGTTCCCATCCCTCTTACCCTCAAGACTGGGAATTTTCCCATGAGATTCATTTGTCGAAGGTGGGGGAGGGGGTATGCTTGTCTACATGTAAATTTTGTTATTGTGTGTTGTCATCATTAGTCCTGGCAATATGCAACAACAACCAAAATATTGGATCACTGGTGTTTTGCTGTCTTGGGGAAAATTATAAAAAGTAGAGGTGTCAAAGCATTCTCCCTGGACTTATCCACTTTACAGAGACTCTGGGACTGCCTGCTGAGCATTTGTGCCCACTTTGTGGAGCACAGGGCAATTTCTTGAGGGAATACAGCCCCCTTAGATGAATATTCTTGCCCAATTATAGGCAAACCAAACAGCAAATCCCTCTTGATCTCTGACTATTGAAGATTTTTCTCTTGGAATTAGAGGAACTAGGACTGGAAGGCTATTTTAAATTCATTCAAACAAACACACAAATGCATATGTACCAAGTACTAAATGCTGTGATTTCAAAACTAAGTAAGATATAAGCCCAGCCCTCACAGAACACTATGAAGCACAGCAGGTAAAACAGATTCCCATGATGCTACATCATGAGGTTCATTCTTTGAGTCCATTGATAATATTGTTCCTTTCCTCAAGCTGTCTTAGAAAAGTATATTTTCCCTACAAGAAGATGAACCAAGCCTTTACCCTCACCTGTTCTAACTTTGGTAAAGCCCACAGTGAGGAGAGAGTCAGATGTCTGGGAGGCTTCCATGCCTGCATCCCAGTCCAGCTGGGCTTTGTGCTTTCTTGCAGTAGACATAAGCATAGAAGAAAAGCTTTCTATGGATCCTGCCACTGCAGTTTGCTTCAGCAGCCCCACCATTCAGTTCAGGCCACTGCTGCTCACAGTCTGGTGGGATGACGGGATGGCTCCTGGCCTGTGGCCTCCCTGTGGCTTTCAGGCGTATTTAATATTTTCTAAAACAGTTTTCACTTTATCATGTTGAAAATCTTTGAAGCAGGAAAAAAAAATGAAGGACAGTATCTCTGGTCTAGAAAGAAAAAAAGCAAGGCAGTAATTCTTTCTAATAAATTCTCTGTTTAGTTATACTTAAACATTAAGGTGATTTGAAAGGATCTGAGAGCGCCAGGCATGGTGGCTCACACCTGTAATCCCAGCACTCTGGTAGGCCAAGGTGGATGGATCACCTGAGTTCACGAGTTCAAGACCAGCCTGAGCTAGAGTGAGACTCCATCTGTAAAAATAGCTGGGTGTTGTGGTGGGCACCTATACTCCCTGCTAGATGGGAGGCTGAGGCAAGAGAATTGTTTGAGTCCAAGAGTTTGAGGTTGCTGTGAGCTATGACTCCACAGCACTCTACAGAGGGTGACAAAGTGAGACTCTGTCTCAGAATTAAATAAATAAATAAATATAAATCAAAAGACCAGAGATTTAAAAAAGAGTAAGAGAACAAGAATAGACCCTTCTGTGAAGTTTAATATTACAAAATATATCAATTACCATTACATCTGTCTGTGAGCCAAAATAACAGTGGCTTAAACAAGACAAAAGTTGTTTTTTTTTTTTTCCTTCATACATGTATACACAGACTGAAGGTAAGGTATCCTGGGCAGCTATGGAAGTGTGATGACACCACGATTATCAGGGACCTAGTTTTTTTGCTATATCATTATGTTATCCACCTCCTGGGCCAGGATAGCTCAAATTTCAGCTATTCTATCCAAACTCCAGCTGGCAGGACACTTCCCTGAAGTTTTACAGAGAAATACTCAGATCCCATTGGCCAGAACTCAGTCACATGGGTATACTAGCTGCAAAGGAGGCTGGAAGATATAGTCTTTATTCTGGGCAACCTTGTGCCTAAAAGAAATATTGTGATATTTTTTAGAGAAAAATAAGGGGGGGGATGGATATTAGGAGATAATTAGTCTTTGGTTGCTAGACAAAATGAAATCTGAAGTGACCTAACCAATCTTTATTATAATGCCATTTGCTTGTGGGATATTTCATTTTTGTTTGGTGTATTATTCCATACACATGCCTGTCTTCTACCATAAAGTGTGCTCCCCAAAGAGGGAAAAAAAGATCATATTCATCACATACCTAGAGACAAGTACAGTATTTCAACAATAGCAGAGAAGGCCTGGGGTACAGGCATTTTATTTGAGAAGAGGTTTTAGGAAACACCAGCAAGAGAGCAAAGAAAATGAGACAATGAAGAAGGGAGGGAAGCTGATAAAAAGATATGTTAATGGGCAAGTTACCACTGTGGGCAATGAGGGCTCAATTCCACTGGGGAAGCAACGAGGAACTTTATGGAAGGTACCTTGGGGTTATTCCTTTGGAGGGCAGGGAAGCTAGGGGACTCATCTACCAAATTCCAGAATTCATTGCTTATGGGTTCAGTGTCTGAGTTCCCTGCACATAAGCTGAGCCAGCTCACACAGCACCAATTCCTCAACTAGAGAAGGCAAGAGACACAGGTGCTTAAGGTGGGCAACTGAAAGCATGTCAGCAAGGAACTGCCCACCTTGGCTGTAGTGTAAATCCACTCACAGGAGGGCCGAGAAGATACAAAGCAGAGGATCCAATAGTGTCTATCACAGGAGATCTTCTTCTTTTCAAGATGGGGGAAGGATCAAGATAGGATTAGAAAGGAGTTCATTTTACTTTTGCCCCTCTTGAAAGAAAGCATAAGCCATTCTTGTAAATAAATTCAGATTTGAGTGGACATGAACTTAGAAGAGAAAATCAAATACACGTATCACACTTGCACACCCCAGGAATTACAGGAAATACAAATGACTACTCAAGGATGACATTTCCTGCCTACCATCTCACTGGTGGCTTGATTTGTTTTCTCCTGCAGCTACCTGCTCCCTGATGATAACAAAGCCACCAAGCACAAAACTCTGGTAATAAAAAAGAGTGTTAACCCTCAGTGGAATCATACTTTCATGTTCAGTGGCCTGTATCCCCAGGATATAAGGAATGTTTGCCTAGAACTTACCGTCTGGGACAAGGAGGCCTTTTCCAGCAACATCTTTCTGGGAGGAGTTCGTTTGAATTCTGGAAGCGGTGAGGGATTTGGGGACTCCATGATGGTCCGTGACTGGGCATGGGGCAGGGGCATGATTCCCGCAGGTGTGAGGTGCAGTAGATGTATCTGTAATTTCAGCTGTACCTGAATCCTGATGCTCCACTCCTTTAGCTAAGGATCTATTCATTGTTAAAATATAAACACGACTACTGGAACTTTGTGTCTTTAGGCTTGAAATTTGGGGAGTATAATGTTTATATTTCATAGACATTTACACTATAGTCTAAGTGAACTTCAGGTACTTTCCTGGGCCTTGCTTCAGGTTTTGCTTGGGAGAGGATCACCAAGACAGCACAGGCTTCTGACAGGGGAGAGATAAACTTGCAAGATCACCATTACTTCGTCATTTTCAGAGTTCTGTTTGGCATTTACAGCTATTATTCATGCTGGTTTAATTGAAAGGAAACCCTTTTCTTTTTCCTTAGATTCATTCCTCAACAGGGATCTAATGTTGTAAACATGTATCTAGTGTTGTTAGATACATGTTTACAACATTAGATACATGGTGTTACGGTAGTAGGCCACATGCAGCCTCCTAAACTCTCATTACCCATGGCCTAGGCCAGACATAGATGGTCTGCATGTACCAGGGTCACCATTTCTGCTGAGAAATATCCCATCCCTATATTTCTTTACTTATTTGTAAATTAAGGGGAGCCAGGGATATCTATGCCTCTAAAATGAAAACCCCCTCCTGTCATAAGAGTGGCCTTGTTAAGAAAAGAGAGGCCCTCAGCCCAGTTCAGCCTGTTTTCTCTGTCATGTTAATTCAGTCCAGATGAACTAGCTGTCTGCTAAACCACCAAAGTGAGGAGGAAATAGGTCACCAGGGCCATCCTGATTTGTCTCACATCATCTAGGCAGAAGAGAGTAGGGCAGACTGCAAAGGATTCATTCCATTCTAACAACACTCACCAGATACACTAATGAGAATAAGCCAGTGAAATGCTTTCTGGTGGGAAGGCCCCATCAGAGGTTGAGAGATTCCTTTGTCTAATTCTCCTGACAGCCCTTTCAGCTGTGAATGGTGTCCTCATTTGATGGACATGAAAAGCCTACCAGTGGTATTCAACCTACCTAATGCCGCGACCCTTTAATACAGTTCCTCATGTTGTGATGACCCCCAACCATAAAATTATTCTTGTTGCTACTTCCTAACTGTAATTTTGCTACTGTTATGAATTGTAATGTAAATATCTGATATGCAGGATGGTCTTAGGCAACCCCTGTGAAAGGGTCATTCACCCCCCAAAGGCAATCAAAACATTTCATGTGTGAAGTGTAATGCTCCCCTTTCCCTCCCTCAGGTGTGAGCCATGGGAAGAATGTGGATTGGATGGACTCCCAGGGGGAAGAGCAACGCCTTTGGCAAAAGATGGCCAACAACCCTGGGACTCCCATCGAGGGTGTACTCATGCTCCGTTCTAGCATGGGAAAGCGTAGGCTCTGAAAGAACCATTTCACCAAGAATGAGGCCTCTGGAGACTAGCTGGCTTCCATTTCCTACCAGCAGCAGGCTAGGACCTAGAATCTGCTTCCCTGACATTTCTCACCTGACGGTATTGGGACGTGAGGGAAGACATGTCAGTATGAACATTTAAGGTCTTGCGGAGTGCCTACAAATATGTGTGCCTCTATATTCCTGTGAACGCTTTCTCAATTGGATGATAGCAAGTGTACCTCACTGTCCTATCAATGAGCAAATTGTGCAATGGCTCATATGGTTTAAACCATAAGAGAAATGGCATGAGTTGATTTGAACCTACAATTGAGATTTGAGGTCCCCATCCTTTATCAAATTATGAGTTACTTTGTATTTTCTCAAATGCTTTGAGGAGAAAGAGGATCACTAAAAAGGCAGATCACTTGAAGAGTAAGAAAAGGATACTGGCCACCCTTTTCTCCCTAGGATTCCCTGTGATCCAAGGATGAGTGGAAGGGATGGTTGTTGGTGCAAGGGGCTGGTCTTGTTATTATAGCAAACTTTTGAATTTAACCAGGTAATGTCTCAAGATGGACTGACAGGACTTTCTATGGTGACTATAGATTTATTCTCTAAACCAGCCTATTTTTGCGAGTGAAGAGAGCTACAGAATTACATCAGAACAACGGATATAAACTAGAATTGACCTGGGAAAGTTGGGATGTAGGGTCACCTTAATGATATTGTAGCTATTAGAGGGCCCTGTTGTAAAGATTTATTTTATAATTTGTTCTAAGCCTTTAGCCAAAGTGAATAAGAAGTAATGGTTAATTGATGTACCTTTTTGCATTCCCTTCCTTGACAAGACTGATTTAATGAAAAGGAGATACTCTGCTGTCTCACCTGTGTCCCTCCTCTGCCCAGTTATGAGAGAGTCATAGATTCTATTTGCTCACTCTCTTCCTTATTTTCTCCTTCCCTGAGTTGTGTTATCTCCTTTTGCAGTGCTTAGCTATTTCCACAATAATGCTGAGTGGCAAACCACCCAAAATGTCAGTGGCTTAAAATAGCAATCCTTTCTTCTCATGGTTACAGAGATTGGCTAGGGCATCTCTGCTTCCTGCTACAGGCCTGGGGGTTTAGGTTGGCTGCTCATGTCTCATCCTCTTTAGGCCAAAGGAATATCCACAGAATGATGACGGCAGGTGTGATAAGATGAGCCCCACTGCTCAAGTACATTTTGAGCCCCAGGTTGTGTCATGTCTATTGATTCCCCATTGGTCAAAGAAAGTCAGATAACCAAGCTCAAATCAAGAGGCAGGGTTATATGCTCTCCCCACAATGAAGCCATGACTAAGTAAGAACACAGTTGGGGATGAAGAACTGAGGCCAGTAGTTCAGTCTATCATACCTTCTGTCACCTGGAATTCCAGATATTTGAACCACAAAACTTAGATGCAAAGGTGGTTGAAACTAGAAGGGACAGAGTCCAAACCTGAATGCCAAGAGAGCTGAGATGACTTGCACACGGTTATACAGAGGCTGTGATTAAATCAAGGCTTAAATCCAGGGTGTAGTTTTGAGGCTGTTGTTCTTTCCACTGTAGTCCTTGGCATGATCCTGTGCTTATCAAGGTAGATAGGAGGACACATGTCAAGAAAGGTGGAAGAACAGAGTCTGATTCCTTGAGCATGAACATACCGTACTCAGGTATGTTCTGGAGTCACATTCTAGTTCCTCAGCTCGTTTTTTTTTTTCACTTGAATTCATAAAAAAGTCTTTAAAAGTATACAAACTGAATTTTAGTATTAGAAGAGCCAGAATCAACTTTAGGCTTATTCTAGGTAGTTGTTCTATATTTCTAGATTTCTTCAATTTGAAAAAAAAAGGGGGGACTTAGGAATATATTTAGTAATATTCTCAGTGAGGGAGTAAGAAATCCATCTTCAATATTATTCAGAAATAGGCCATCTCATTCTAGAAAATTGAAATTGTTGGTCTATAGTAGCTTAGTAGGTATGATACCTTTTTTAAAAAAGCCTCATGCTCATATTCCTTTCTTCCCTTTTTATAAAAAGAAAACAAAAGTATTAGATCATCACTACTTACTTCCCAAACACAAAAATAAATTATCTTCAGACTTAATGTGACTTGTTACATCCTCAGTGACATTTTTAGGGAAAGTGAGAGGGTTGTGATGGTGAAGTCTGGAGATTATCTCTGAAGTAGACACAACAAAGTGTGTTTATTCACTAATAATAAATGTAGCAAAATAATAAATTTCAAAGTTTATAACTTAAACATGAGCAGAGCATGATGTGTTCAGATCTTTGTATCATAGTTTAGAATAATTCTGATTCCTGGTTTCATAAAATACAACATCTAAGTGTTTCTGTAACACAAAACCCAAGTATGCAAAAGTCTACCAAATACCTGTTGGTGTTGCTCTTAGGAGTAAAAGGCAAATTAGTATTTAGGCAACTGTCTTTTACGTAGTATAGTATAGAGATATAAATAATATTTTTAAGAGTAGGTAATGTATATGAATGGCACAGAGTTCAAATAGTTCAAAATTCCCTCTCTGTAAAAAGTAAGTATTCTTCTCTCCCCTTCCATATCAGAATATATTGAAAGTCTCATTATGTATTTATGGCTACAGGATGTTACATTATAAGGATGTATCAAATTTATTTATTCAGTCTTACCAACTGGCACATTAAACATGGCTAACTTATTCAGTGGCTTTTCTAAGTAATCTTTTCTTTCAAAAATAAACACTTTGAAATTCAACATGAAGCATATATATATATATATATATATATATATATATATCTTACCCAGCCATTTCAATTCTGGCTATGTACCTTACCAAGAGAGGTGCATGCATGAGAAGTGAGTACATACAAGGACATTTATTACAGGATATTGCAAACAACTCAAAAGCCCATCAGCAGAGGCTTTGTGTACTGTTAGCATGCTTCTGATTTTTCAGTTTCATAGATGCTCCTTCTCCTTCTTTCTTTGCTCACTCTTTACACAACCAGTAAAAGTTGGATTCTTCAGTGTTCAGCCTTTCTTTCCTCCTCACATCATACAGCCTTCCAGGCATTATCATGAACCATGCTCTCATGTTTTCAATATACTTTGAACTTCAAACTTATATCTCCAACCGAGACCCTTCCTATCAGCCCCTAAATCAGATCCAATTGCCCATATGATATCTCCCCCAGCACAATTTATGTTTTGAGCATATTTAAAACTGAACTCTTCATTCCATCTTCTCCCTCATATCTGTGTCTTCTTGCTCTAGTTTATCCTCTTTCTGTACCTGGTACCATCATCCACTCAGTTACAGAAACCAGATTACATGGTAGTAATCTTTGATTTCTGCCTCTCCCTGACCCTGAGGCAAAATAGATTGGGAAATCATATCAATTCCACCTTCTAAATATCTCTAGGGCCTGTCTGGTTGTCATCATCTCCAAGACACTGCTCTAGTCCACGCCATCATCACCTCCGCCTCAATTATTACAACAGTCTCCTGGCTGCTATCTATGCAGCCAATTTGCTCCTCTCTCAATCCATTCCTCTTATGGTAGCCAGAGTGAATTGTCCCAATATGTTATTTTTGAATAAATGTTTAAATGTTTAAAATGTTCAAAGATACAGAAAAGTTGAAAGAATTTTGTAGTGAACACCCTAATACCCACCACCTAAATTCCGCTCCATCATTAGCATTTGACTCTACTTGCTTATCATTATCAATCTGCACATCCCCAGAGTGACCTTTACAACCATCATGGCTTGCCATTCTTATGAGAATAAGATATAAATTCTTGCTCTTGGCCCTGCATAAGATGGCCACTGCCTCCTTGCTAGCTTGTCTCAGACCATATCTCCCCTCCTCTTCTCTTCAGACACACGGTGCATGCCAGTCTTAATCCCATCTCATGGCCCTTGCCGGAAATTCTCTTGGTCTTTCTCCTCATCAGCCTGATTCCCATGAACCAACCAGGTCTCCAATGTTACTTCCTCAGGGAAACCTCACCTGATTACCCTTCTGCTGAACTAAGTCATAGCAGCCTGCCACTATTTCTCCTTCGCTGCACACATTATAATTATAACAAAATTTTCATGTAATGAAAACATTAATGTCTATGTCTGTTCCCTCCCTGCCATGTCCTTAGAATGCAAGGTTCAGAGGGGCAGAGACAATATTTGTAATTTTTCATAGTGCTGAGCTCAGAGCAGGTAATCAACAATATTTGTGGAATAAGTGAAAACAAAAAGTGATAGCATAGAATGTTAGATAAGTACATCTTTAGAATTTTCCCAATTAACATATTAATTCCCAATGAACAGATAAGGAAACTGGTGCCCACAATGATCAGGAAAAATCTCTGAATTTGCTCGCTGATTGGTCTTCTAAAAGCAAGTCTTCCGTAGTCACCATGTTGCACAGCATGGCAACTATAGGCAATAATAATGTATTATATTTTGAAACAGATAAAAGAGATTTTAAATACTCTCACCACAAAGAAATGATAAATATAGGAGGTGACAGATATGCTAATTAGCCTGATTTGATCATTCCACGATGTACACATGTATCAAAACACCATATTATACACTATAATAATATGTAATTTTTATTTGCCAGTTTAAAAGTAAATGAAATTTTTAAAAAGCGGTCATTGTACAAATACTGTAGTTACAACCCTATAACCCAGCTTATCTCAGCATAGATCAAAGTACAAAGTGTGCTCTCTCCAGCCTAGAATGTCAGGTTCTCTGAAGAAGAGACTCTGGCCTTGCCTGGAGCATCGTGCTGAGCCTTCATTTTTTGCCTCAGATGAATCAAACATGTTATAAAGGGACACAGGTAAGTTCGAAAGCCTGGCTTTATCCATGCAGTATATAAATAGCAGGCCATGGAAGATTCAGGTCATTTTCTCCCACTTATGTTGCTACTGTCACTGGTTAAGATGTATACTTCCTAGGTCAGAAAACACCAAAAACAAAGTTAT